AACTGACCAGATTCATTAGGCTCTTCCCTCCACAAGAGTATGTAAGCAGTTAAGACCACTGACTTGAGGGTCATTCTTAGACAAGCCAGGCTGCAAAGAAGTCTCTGAGACAAGCCGGACTGCATAGGAGAGGCTCAGATCAAATGTCCTGGAAGAAACAGAGACCAACTGTGGTAGTCTGAAGGGAATGGCTCCATAGGCTCATATATTTAAATGCTTAGTCATCAGGGAGAGGCATTACTTGAGAAGGATTAGAAGGTGTGGCCTTTGTTGTAGTAGGTGTGTCTTTGTTGGAGGAAATGTGTCTCTGGGGGTGGACTTAGAAGTTTCAAAGGTCAGGCCCAGTCTTTCTCTCTGCTATGGATCAGGATGTCGCTCTCGGCTATTGCTCCAGCACCATGCCTACTTGTGTCGTGCTTCCCATGATGATGATAATTAAGTAAGCCTCTGAGACTGTAAGCAAGCCCCCAGTTAAATGTTTTCCTTTATAAGAGTTGTCTTGGTCATGGTATCTCTTCACAGCAATAGAACAGTGACTAAGATACCAGCCAAGCTATCCACTGAGTCACGGGGAAGGTCACTCTCCAAACTGCTGAGCCACCTACAGGATGTGCAGTGAACTCCAGGTTTCCAGCTTTTGTGAGCTGTCACCCATGCTGGGGTGGGCTTTGGTGATGCAGCTGTCTTTGAGTTATTTGTGTTTCTGTAGTAACCCCTCACCCACATTCCTGACTCACCACAGTCAAACTCATTGATTCACCAAGCTGGGCTTTGATTGGTCCTCAGTCCCCTACTTGGGGTGTGTAGCTGTTTGTCCACAGCTCCCCAGGGATAGTGTCACACAGTTAAGTGTGGGCTCATCGTTGGTTACTCAGCAACTCCCCCTGCTATAAAAAAAATACATGAAAAAAATACCATGCCTTTAATCGCAGAGACAGGCAGATCTCTAAGTTTGAGTTCCAGTACAGGTGGGGCTCCACAGAGAAACCATGTCTTAAAAAAACTAAAACAAAATGAAACATAAAACATTGACAGTTTTCCTTCTACTTCTGGTCAGCTCTGTCCCACCAGCAGCCACAAAATAACCACATAGAGACCTATCATTAACTACAAATGCTCAACCAATAGCTTAGGCTTATTACTAGCTAACTCTTATATTTTAAATTAACCCATACTTCCTATCTATGCTCTGCCACATGGCTCTGTACCTTTTCTCTCAGTATGACATGCTCATCTTGCTCCTCTCTGCATTTTTCATAACTCTGTGTCTCCTCCCCCTCTTCTTTGAGCTTTCTTTTTGTTTCAAGTCCTGCTTAACCTCTACCTGTCCAGGTATTGGCCAGAACTTGGATTTCTAGGAACCATATATGAGAGTTGTAGTTGGCAGTGTCCTGGGAAAGCAGAGAAAGTTGGGCACCTCTGAGGAAAGCCCACGGGATGTCAGGTGTGATGGAATATGCTTGTAATCCCAGCACTTAGGCCACAGAGCTAAAGGAGTCGGCCTGTCACATGAAATGGCTGTTCAGGTTTGTGACAGTGTCCTTTGATCTTCCCCAGGATGGACTGCCAAAAGCTCTTCTCTGTTGGTTGTTTTATGTCAATCTGACACCAGCTAGAGTCGTTTGGAAAAGGAACTCTAAGTTGAGAAAATACCTCCATCAATAGACCTGTCGGCAAGTCTATAATGTATTTTCTCAATTAATAATTAGTGTGGGAGTGCCCAACCCACTGTGGGTGGTGCTACCCCTCGATTGGTGGTCCTGGGTGGTATAAATAAGCCTACTGAGCAAGCTATGGGAAAAAGCCAGTAAGCAACATTCCTCCATGGTCTCTGCTTCAGCTCCTCTCACGGTTCCTGCCTTGAGTTCCAGGCCTGACCTCCCTGAATGATAGACAGTTACCTGGAAATGTGAAATGAAATAACCCTCCCCAAGTTGCTTCTAGTTATGGTGTTTTAGCATATCAATAGAAACCCTAAGTAAGACACCCCAATTCAGAGAAGTACCAACCCCCCCCACACACACACACCATTCTGCGGCAGTCTGATAGGTTAACAGCATCAAGGCACAGAACATGAGGTGTAAGCAGGAATAGAGGCAGGTTCTTGGATAACGAGACTGCCTGCCCTGCCCTAAACACCATCCACACAGAGACCCCTGGATCCTGGGCACCAGAGGCAAACAAGGTTCCTGGTCACATGGGAAGGATCCGTCTTTGGGAGACTAAGCAAACAGAGGAATGAGTTGATTCAGGCAGGCAGTACTCTCAGACACTTGCTCTCACTGGATCTGGAGGGCGCTTCTGAAGCCTCGGAATCCAGGGGAACTCTGGTCATGTAGGCAGTGAAAGGAAGAGGTGACTGGGGAAACGAGAGGGACAAGGGATAGGACACATGACATGTGGAATATCCCGGGAACACAGGTGTGATGGCCAGCGCTCCGGCTTCATTTCAGATGAACTGTGAAAACAGGGGCTGTCCTAGGATTCGTCAAGGAACTTTGAAAGCATCTGATTCAAGAGACAGGGTCTTGTGATGGAGCCCAGGCTGGCTTCAAACTCTGGATCCTTCTGCCTCCTCTCCTGAGGGCTGGGATTTACAGGTGTGTGCCATAATGTTTCATTTCTACTCCTCCCCCGCCCCCAGGCTAGGCATCTGGAGACCCCAACCCAGGGCAGCATCTCTGACCCCATCTAGTTATACCTCTGCATCGGTGACACACGTCTCTGTGGCGCTGGGCTTTTGACTGGACCAGCACTGATGAACACAGCAGGTTCACTCCCTGTCACCCTTGCTATGCGGGGGTTACTGCTTTGCAGGCAGAGCTCCTGGCTTCTCTGTCACATTACCACGGTCCATCGAGTTCCTAGACGATGAAAGAAATGGTGCTGTGTCTCAGGTTTGCCCAGTTACGGCAGCTAGGGTGCAGCCTCACACAATGGTGGCATCTAATTTTGTGTCTCTGAGGCAAAACTGGAAGCTGCTTTGGGAACTTGATTTTAATCACACCCACCCAATGCCAGGAAAAGATTCCCGGGGCCGTGAAATCCGAGGGCAGTGTGGCTGTCCACTCATGCCTCAGCCTGAGGCTGAGGGTTTCCTTTGGAAATTCTATGAGCTGAAAAGCGAGGTTTTGCTGTAGGTGACACAGTACCATCAGAGAAGAAGGCATGAGGGGACAGGCAGAAAACAAGAGACTGTTCTGCTCCCCCAGGCTTGCTTGCCAATAAGCTTCCATTCCGCAGTAAGTCTAGATCACCATGGCTATTAATGGAACATCGTTAACACAGAGCAACACTCAGCAGCGAGCCACAGCATGGCCTTCCTTCCTTCTCCTGTATTACGGTTGGAATCTGAAATGTCCCCTGGGCTCCTGTTCGGAATGCTCAGTCTCCAGTCAGCTGAGAACTGTTTTGAAGGCTATGGAGGCTTTAGAAGGTTAGGCCTGACTGGCATTAAAGTTACTAGGGGGAGGTCTTTGGAAGTTTTACACCCCCCACCCCATTTCTCATCCCCAATCCCCCACCCCCACCCCTGCATACACATACCTGATTCCTGCTTCCTGTCCTGTGGGCAGTGATGGACTGGGACATGCCTCAGTGGTAGAGCCTCTGCCTAGAATCCCCCAGTGAGGAGCTAGGGTATGGCTCAGTGGTAGAGCCTCTGCCTAGAATCCCCCAGTGAGGAGCTAGGGTGTGGCTCAGTGG